TGTCAGAATCTGAGTCCTCAGTATTAGCGGATGTGTTATCTGGCTGGTCAGGTTTCCCAAAGTGGATTCTTCTAGTCCGCTGCCCTGGTTTGGCCTGGGACCGCAGCTGGCAGAGTGGGGTCAGTTTAAACCTCCTTGCTGATTTGCTAAAAATTAAACAGAGAAGAGAGTGGGGAGTTTACAGTTTAGTTTGTTATCCTTAGGTATTTTCAGCCAGGTGGCTCACACCAGACTCTCCTCTGCCTTGCAGGCAACTACCTTGTTAGAGAATTAGCATGTGGTCCTCTTCCCTGGAGTGAGAGGGAGACCCCTTGGCTGGACACGCTGGGCTTGGGCATATAGGGGATAAGGTCACATTTCAAAGCCATCAGTCCTCTTGTTTTTTACCTCACATGTAGCCTGGCTTTCTGAGTACCTGGTACCTCCTCAGTTCTACCTTTATTCTGTTCTACCTATGCTCAGCTCTACCTGTCCTCCATCCTACCTGTCCTGTAATCTGCCTGTCCTCCATCCTGCTTGTCCTCCATCCTGCCTGTCCTCCATCCTACCTGTTCTCCATCCTACCTGTCCCCCCTCCTTCCTGTCTTCTCCGCTGCCTCTCTGCCATCCTAACTGTTCTCCATCCTACCTGTCCTCCCTCCTGCCTGTCCTCCATCCTGCCTGTCCTCCATCCTCCCTGTCCTCCATCCTCCCTGCCCTCCATCCTGCCTGTCCTCCATCCTGCCTGTCCTCCATCCTACCTGTCCTCCATCCTGCCTGTCCTTCGTTCTGCCTGTCAACCTGCTTGTGCACTAGGGGCCCAAACAGATTTAAAACGGTGCACTGAGGTACTTCTAGGAGGGCTCGTGGGGTGGAGGGATGAGCTCAGTCTGTGCTTAAGGAGCAGTGCAAGGCAGTAGCTGTGTCCACTCCAACAGGGGAAGCCCTGTGAGAGAGATTTCTGAGCATGAGAAACTGGGAAATGCAGGATCAAGGCAGGGAGAGTTGGTCCCTCCTGCCAGATGAGATCTTTTTCCTTCAGGATCACCTTTTAAAATATTAACATATTTTCTTTTTATGAAAATAATCTGGGCTAATTTTCCCTCCCCTGAAGACTATTTGGTGTTTTCTTTTTCTCTAGCCATTTTTTGTTTGTTTCTTTTTCCTGTGCTATATGTTCTTTATATTACTAAAATGTGTGTGTGTGTGTGTGTGTGTGTGTGTGTGTGTATAATCTCCCTTCTTGTTCTTCAAATGTTTTCTCATGTTATTAAAATGTTTCATGTTTTCATGGTTAATGTTTAATGATTAATGGTTGCACACAATGGTATGGCTGCTTGACTTAGCTAATAAAAATACAGGACACCTAGTTCAGCTTGGCAAATAACAAATAATTCTTTCTAGTATATGTATGTCCCAGGCAATATTTTTAATGCAGTATTTATGACACATTTATTTATCCTTGTTTTTCTGAGATTCAGATGGAACCGGCCATCCTGTATTTTATCTTACGACCCCACAAAATACCACGTTATTTACAGTTTCTTGCTGTTGAATATTTAGATATTTTCAGTGATGCAATGGACATCTTTGGATATGAAATTTCCTACCTTGATTTACTTCCTTAGGTAGATTGTTAGAAGTAGAATTACCGAGGAGATGAGTATTTTTTCCCAAGACTTTTCAAACCTATCAAGAAATCACTGTTTGAAAAGGTTATAGCAATTTCTGTTCTCACCAACAGCATGTAAGAGTCCTCATTCCCCACACCCTTGCTAACATTATCACACTTAAATACTTTGCTATTTTGGCAGCAAATAATGATATATCATTTTCATCTTTGATTACTAATGAGGTTCACATTTTTTGTTTATTAGGCATTCAATGTCCTGGTTTTTAAATTTTCTGCAAGTATTTCCTGACTTCTGGGTCCCTATTTTGCATTGCTTTGAAGTTATAAGGAATATGTTTTATCTTTATATATTTACTAATTTTTACTCAGCTGCTGGCGCTGGAGCCTAGTCTGCGGGCCCACATTCCAGGACGAATTCTGCACAATGGCCTCCAGCCTACCTGCCAAGCTACCATTGTTTAAAAATAAAAGCTTCATATGACTCCTGAATGCATTTAAAATAAATCAATTAAAGCAAAGAACAGTAATTTTCTTCTGAGCTTACAGAATAAAAGTTTGTTTCTCACAGTTCTCTTCTGTTTTTGTTCCTAATAAATGACTGGTTTCATAAATACCTGCGTTATCCACCCTTATAAACCCACAAGTATGCTGTGTAGGGTTCTGCTGTGTTCATGTGAACGATACAGCTTCATGGTGTCTGTAGTACTTCCCCCATAAAATACTCATTCCCCAAGGACGGGAATCCATTGCCAAAGGACAGGGAGGCAAGGGGGGACATTCTGTGAATTTTAACTTGCACGTTACCCCTTTTCTCATGGAGTCCATGCTTTAACTTAGAAACGAGCTGGAGTAGCCAGGCTTGCTTTCTCTAAGCAGGGAAAGACTGAACAGTACAGATTCCTTCTGGAACATTGCCTTAGGTCTAGTAGAAAGGGCACGCACAATGCCTGGCAGCACTGCCTCGAACTCATAGTGAGGGCCTGTCCTTCTGTCTGGGGCCTGCTGTAATTAGTCCCCGTCATTGTAAAACAGGGGCCATTTGGTTGCCTCGTCTGTGACATTCTCATCTAGAGAGGAGACTTCCCCATTGGGCATTTGCGTGTTCCCAGGACTTGCTTTATGAAAATTGCTGTGTTCTCTTCGGGTTTTCATTTCCTGCGTCACATCAGCTCTCCCATTCTTCGGCTTGCATGAATTTTTCAGCATCACGTGGCAATCTGCTCCTGAATTGAGTAGGTCCATGTCCGGGTGCCTGGCCTGAGTCTGAGCGCACTGGTTTTTCTCATTACTGTTACTCTGGCCTCTTCCTACTCTCAACTTGCTGTTTTAAGTCAAGCTCATCATTCTGTTGCTTCCGATGATAAATAGCTGCCTTTGTGGTGTCAGTCATTTTAATCTGCTTATTGTTTGGATCTGCAGAAAATTAATGTGAGCACCTAGTAGGTGCACCGAGGCCAACTCAGGCCTCTTCTTGCACTGGGAAAGCTCCGCATTTCGCGGGGAAGTGTTCGGGTCACAGTGCAGCATCAGGGCTGACTGTGGGGCATCGTGCAGCGGAGGTCTTTCTTCTTCCTCTTCCTCTTCCGACCTTTCCTGATGACTTCAGGAGTGGGGGAAGTGACTCTCGACCTTGTATTGTTCATCAGCGGTGACTTCAGGGTTTCTTAGAGAAAGAATTAAAATGTACATCTGGATAAGAGGGAAAGAAATTAGGTCAACAACTAAGTTGTTAGGTCAACAACTAACCTGCCTTGTAGCTCGAGAGTGCTGGTTCCACACCCAGCTTTGCATTTACTCCTTCACAGCCTCAGTTTTGCTGCCTATCAGGTGGGACAAGAAGAGAATCTATCATGTGATGGAATGAGGCCATGTTTCCAATGGCCCCAGCGTAGTGCTTGAGCCACATGTGATATTATTAAGATGATTATCCAAAGGATGGCACATCACTGTCATAAGGAGTAGACAGGATTCAAAGGTGGCTTCTCATGAGTTCAGTGGGATGCCAAATATTTATGTATTTCAAAAGTTCATATTCATAAATAGACATTTTGCCATTTTACTAATCATTCCTCCAGTGGAAAACAAACATTATTTAGCTCTTGCCCTGAACATCAACTTGGAATCTAAATCTCAGCAATTATCATGATTCACAAATAATTTATATTTCTGGGCAAATGGAAGATACCATTATCATCATTATTGTATTTGTTCGATTTGCGTAATGCATCCTTTGAGGACTCATTTGGAGGCATATACGTATTCTATAGATATAAAATTGGATTGGAAAAAATATTGGACTTTAACATTTCACTTTAAAGCTCATATTCCAATTTAATATAAAAGACACTGAGGCATTCAAATATATTGCTGGTAAAAGTTGAGTTAGTAAAAGAATGTGACTTGGGAGCTCATTTAATAGGAGAAAAATAGGGACATATCTCAAAGTATGTCTAATCCTATAATCTTACCAGACTTGTCCCGATTTAATGGGAGAAAATGTATGTCCCATGTTTCTTAAAATGTCGTTAACTCAGAGGAAAATGTTCAAAAGCAAGGAAGGCTTTACAATGTTATTAGCCACAAACCCTAGAAGTGAGAAATTGCAGTTAATGGCAGCAAGGTTGCTTAGCCCCCAACCCACCCACCAAAGCAAATGCCCTTCAAGGCACGAAGGACATGTGCACACATACGGGCCACCCCAATTAGCTAACTGCTTTGGCCCCTTACCTTCTCCATTCTCGGTTTTGTTTGTTGCTTTCTTTTTTCCTCCTTCTTTTCCTTTCCACCCAGTGCTGTGTCTGGTGTGAGAAATTCCCATCTCTCCCACTTGACATTCTGATGAGCCGGCATTCCTCCCCCACTTCTTCTCGAGGAGAAGAATTGGACCATAACTCATTGTGGAGTTGCTGGTGATTGCCTCCAAATCGGCCAAGGGGGGATACAGGCCGATTTTGAAAAATAAAAGGCTTCTCTTTGCCATGGCCCAAGAGGAGTTGCTGCACACACATTTCACCTGATAATAAGGGCAGCAAAGTTTCCAAGAGAGCAGAGAACATAAGTGCCTGTGATTTCCATCCTGTTTTAAATTTTTGCATATTTAATGCAAAAATATTTAAAGCTTGTTTTTCCAATCTGGACAACCCTGTTACAGGAAGCATTTAATGCAAACAAAATAGGAAGCCTCCCCCACAAAAACATCCTGAGGTTGGAAATGGCTATTATCTTAGGCTGGTCAGCCTGGGACAGAGGGCCGCAGAGCTCAGGGCTTCCCGCCATGTTCCATAGCCAATCCCTGGCAGTTTTAAACCCCAAACTCTGGGTTGACATCAACTTTTCCCATGAGCATTATTCTTTCCCCATCTAATTCTACCTTTTGATTCATTTACAGGGAAACTTTGTGGCTTGCATGACAGCTATTTTACGACAAATGGAAGATTATCATTATGCCCACTTGATCAAGACTTTTGGGAAAATGAGGACCGATGTGGTGGTGAGTGTCCTGTTCACTCTGTTCACAAATCCATGTTTTAGACAAAATGCTGGTGTCAATATTTCGATTTTGCATGTGAACTTACCTCTGATTAATTTTGGAAGCCACTAGGGAAAGTCTAACCAAAGCCTTGTTTCTAATAAGACAAAGGTCTTGACTGGCAGACTTGTTTCTTGGGCTAAACTGCAGAATGACTCAGGGTCTGAGCTCAAAGAAATCTCCTGTCTTTTCTGGTCTCAGTTTCCTCTCCTGTGCTTTGGAATAATTGGAAATTCAGAGATGTTATCTATGGAGAGTCCACTATTAACTACTCATTCAGTGGTTGACCTTTCAATAGCAGGAGTTAGAGAGACTTTTCAGCTTTTCAGCATTTCTCCAAATAATTCTCTAGTCATGCTCAGTACAGCTATGATACACCTTAATCAGGAAAAGTATAAAAGAGGGGAATTTATTACTTAGGATCTACCTCCCTGATGACCTCAAATTACATTGCCATATGACAAATCTCCTCTGCAGAGCTGCAACCAAACTTGTTGGCAAAGCTCCTGATTACAGGTTGACTTGAACTCCTAGATTCCATTTCTAAGGACCTATAAGTTCCTGTAGAATACCCGCACATTCCTATAAAATACAGCAAACTCCACTAGTGTTTCTAGTACAAGTTTTGCTGAGCTTGATGTCTATTTTATTAAGAGATGGGAAGAAAAAATGATTTTTTCCAAGGGATTATTTCTAATACAAAATTTTCTTATCATTGCCACTATATCTATCTATCTATCTATATATATGCACACATACATATGTATATGTGTGTATAGTCATAGGTTAACCTGTGTAGTGTGTTACTGTACTGAATAAGATAGGCAATTGTAACCCAATGGCTATGAAATCACTACACAATAAGAATTTTTCAGCTCCATTATAATCTTATGGGACCACAGAAGTATGTGTGTTCTGTTGTTAACCGAAACATTGTTCTGCAGTTCATGATTATATTTTAAAGTTTCTAAGGAGAACAAAAATATATCTAAACTTTAAAATCATAGCAATTTCCCTTAAATAAAAGTCAGGGAGCAAGAATGCGTATATGTTTATATGTCTGTGTGTTTTGTTTTTCTCTGAATATTAATAAATAATTTATAGTAGGAATAAACTCAAATATATATCATTTATATGCTCTGTTTTTTTTAAATCATGGCATAGTGAAAGGAGATTTTATATGTATAACATTTAAAGCCAAAATTAAATCTTAAAGGTATCCCTAAGTCCTGTTTTGGTTAGTGGAAAGAATAGTTATAGCTTGAAACTATATGAACACTATCACTCATAATGTTTCAGGCTGAGTACTAAGGTTTTCAGAATGAGAAGAATTAACCATCCTGAAAAGTTAGGACTCCAGTTAATACTTTGCCCTATATCATAACAGTCACATGATCAAAATCCACATCAGACAACTGTTAAAAACATTTAATGTGAACTTTTAAGTGGTGTGATTGAAAGGTAAGCTTCAGCATATGTACTGTGAAAAGTGATTGTACAAAATGATGTTTAAAAATTATTGCCATTTGTGGAAATCCATGTGTGTGCCCTCCTTCTTTGCTCACAGCAATAGATAAGATATTTACTGCATGTTATGGTCCTAATTTCCCAGGGGATTTTTTTCCCATAGACACAGCAGTTCTGAAAATCAATTATTTGCATACAATTTGATTTCTGTTATAAATGGCATTTGTGATTTGAATGTCACACATTTGTACTGGGAAGATTGTAAACCTTTTTACTGGTGTAAATCTGTGCAAACCTTTGTAAAATGTGTTCCTGTCCGTTAACTATACATAGACAGTGTTTGACTATTTTTCTACTCTGACAGCTATCAAAAATAAAAGATCGTTTTTGTGTGAGATAATCGGAAGTTAATTAGTACTTCAATATGAAAATAGCCTAAACTATTTTTTGTGACTACCTCCTTCTAGCGAGTGCCACTTCAAGTTCTCAAATTTAGACCCTTTTTGTTGGGTGAGTCATTTCCATACAAAATGGCAGTTATTAGAAATACCTGAGTATAGGGTGTGGGCAGAAAGACTGGTCTGGAAAAGAAAAACAATGGACATATTCAACTGAAACTCTCTCGTGATAGAGACAACCCCCTCCCTTCTGGATCTGAGCCACAAAGAGTCTTTAGAATCTTCCGCAATGGAGATGCTGATGCCAGCTCCCATGGGTCCGAGTGCAGTGTCAGGAACAGAAGAGAGAACTTGCTCAGATCTTCTTAGTAACATAGAAGGGAGGACTCTGGACCTTCGAGGGGAGCGTGTTGTCTTGCCACTTGTCACTAAGTGGCTCTGGACACACACACCCAGTGTTTCTCTACACTCTCACACAGAGCGCTCTGTGACCAGATATGTGAGAGTTTCTCCCACAGGGACCAATTTTCTGACATGAGGGAGTGTCCTGCAGTTCACTTCCATTCTGACACTCTGTCCCTGGAGTGATGGTCGTATCCCACAAGGTAAAGGGCTCATCTGGCCTTACTCAGATTTCACCAGAATGGCATGTATTCTTTTCCCTGTGTAACACACAGAAAAGCTGAAAGAGTAGTACAGTGAAAACCAGTATTGCTAGCACTGAGTTTGTCAGTTTTGAGTATGTGGGCATATTTTGATTCCTTTGCGTACCCTAAGTATCTCTGCGTGTACAGCCAGGTCTGTGTAGACACGGCGATGCTCCTGCCCGACGTATTCCAGCAAACATCTCTTAGGAAGGAAGACATCCCCCAGTGGTCTTATTGCTCCTCAGGGTCATAACAACCATCCCTTGTATTAGTTATATTAAGATTTTCTCCATTTTCCCCAAACGTTTATGCCTTTTATTAGGGATGTCATCGAATCAGATTCACTCACTGCATTTGGTTGTTATGTCTCCTTAATCTCTTTCTCTTTCTAGAATGAGTCCATCACCATCACATTGTTGTCTTCTTCTTCTTTTCATGGCATTGTTTTTTTATTTTTTTCAAGAGACCAGGCCAGTAGCTTTTAGACTATCTCCCGTTCTGGACTTTCTGAGTGCTGCCGTGTAACCTTTTGAGCAGTTCCTCCCTTCCCCTGAATGTCCTGCAGGCCAGTAGCTTGGTCTAAAGGTCAAGCTCAACTTTTTGGCAGGAGTGTTTCAGTGTTGGTGTTGAAAGCCTCCTATAGTGTCACCTCTGGAGACTGGGATCATCATTCTGACCCATTGCTGATGATGCTAAGTGTGGCCGCTTGGTTAAAAGGTGGTAACTGCCAGATGTCTCCATTGTAAAGATGTGCACACCTCCCCCCACCACCACACACACCCCCTTTGCGTTTATCAAGTAATCTCTGGGTGAAACTTTGGCGTCAGCAAAAAATTGGCAAATATCCTATTCCCTAATGATCCTTCAGCGAATGGGTTGGAAATGTGTTGCCAGTCCTGCTCTGTAACTGTTACTTCTTTGGCATAGCAGAATGGTAGTTTCCTAATTCTGGATGTCTAGATGCTTAGTCTTTGGTCTAACAGCAGTGGGAAGCTGTTCTGGATGTGGGTTCAGTGCAAGATTGGGGAAGCACTGGTGCCTTGATCAGATTTGTAGTTTGAAAACATCACTCTGTGTGAAGTGTAGGGACAAAGAGGGACAGGATGGATGTAGGTGGACAGTCTGGGAGTCCCTATGGCAGCCCCACTGTGAAAGGATGCATGTTCATTCAAGTGGGCAGGGCTGGGGATGGGAAGAAGCACATAGGGTTTGACAAGAAGATTTTGCCTCTGAAAGACAGGGGTGGCTATTGTTAGAGCTGCCCGCTTATTATCTAGGGCACCACGTGAAACTAAAAAATACAACAGGAATAGATTGGCATTAAATGATTAAATTTTCACAAAATATCCCATGTGGCTTGGAGACCCCAATGTCTGTGAAGCCTCATCGGCCACCCTAGGCAAATGCAGTGGTGAGGGGCCACCGCCTCGGCTAGCGAATCACACAGACTGATAAGCCTTGCAAAACCTCATCCCCCATTACACTCAGCATTTTGTGTGATCAGCAAAGTACCGCAATTCAACAGCTGAGCCATACTAATGAAGTAAGGGACTGCGTCTCCTCAAAAAGAACAAGCCTTGAGAAAATATGCTTCTCTTCCAGAATTATAAAAACTAGACATTGTATCTCAATTATTAGCCTTTGAGACACGATCAGTAAGAAAGCTGGTGATTTCATGCAAGAAGAGATGTAACTAAATCACAGTACTCAGGCTGCGGACATGCAACCTGGCCATTAGAAAGGGAAACTCTTGTCAAAGTGGGGAAGCTATGTAATGAAGTATGAATTTCAATAATTAAGCTGGGAGAAGCAGCCATTGGCTATGTCGGGGGCACCAGGATGCTCCCGTTCTGCAGGGCTGGAGGACGCAGCACCTGTGCGCAGAGTTCGGGGAGATGTGGACCAAATTTTCCCTCTTGGTTTTGCCCAGGTCCCTAACCTCTTCTGGACTGGAGGCCACCATTGTTTAATCACAATCACTGGCTGTGTTTTTATTCATGGTGGGGACACACCAAACCCCTGGCACAGCACACATGACTTGCCAGAACTCAGCATTGTTATTAGTAACGTGGCGGAGAAAGTATCTTAACTTTGAATATCAGCTTGTTGTTGTCTTCAAAGTTAACTTGCACCTCTTTGCAGGAGGTGCCTGTTTAGAAATTTGTCCTGGGAATTGCTTTCTTGGCTACTTAAATTCTATTCACCACCTTGGCCTTCACAGCCATTGCACCTAATTATGATTCAGTAGATTAAATAAATGAAAAATATCCACTCATTTGGCAATCTCTGACCATGGCCTCATTTTTCTAAATCCATTCTCTTTTGCCCTTCCCCTTCCTGCCCCAGGTCTTGAGTGAGCCTGCAGCTGCCAGAGATGCTTTTTGGGATAACCACTTGTTTTGTTCAGGTTAGCCCAGGGCAAGTGTCAAACTCTCAAAAATAGGAAATTCTCCTAATTCCAACAGACATACGGGAGGGCTTTAGGAACCCAGCACCCGTTTCTGATGTCAGGAGCATTCTGAGCGTGGAAGCAGGGTTGGGCAGCTGGGCATCTCTGTACGCTGCTCCTTGTAAGTTGACCTTTGAAGTACAGAGAGCCATCTGGGCCACCAGAGACATAACGGAGACATCAAAGAGTTCAGGGACACAGCCACACACTCAAATGGCTTACGGCCTGCTGAATATGTGCAGGTGGTGAGGAGTTCCTGTTTGAGCCTTTTATTTGTAAATTCCATAGGAAAAAGCAAACGATAATAGTATCCCATATTCAACCTGAGGTGGCCTGTTCATAATGAAAAATAGAGTAAACATAAGAAAAAGCTATAACCTGCATGCTATGTTTGTGAAAATCATGTTTTCCTATAAGCAGAAAGGTTTGAATGCATATTTATAACCTTTGGGGATTTTTCCTTTTTAACTTTTAAAGAGATATGCCCAGGGAATAGTTCAGAGTATATCCTTGAAAAGGCTGTCTCAGACGGGAGATGCTCAGATAAACAGAAAGACAGCACTAACACACAGATCCCATGAAATACATCTCCGTTACTTTTCAGAATGTTTTCATTCAGCTTTAAAAAATGGGGTCTTTTATAATCCAGTCATTTATGGGATGTGTGTGGTTTTCACCTTATTCTTGGTGGGTTGCTTCAGTGTTTTGTGTTTTGTTTCAGGATTTCCTAATGGAAACATTCATCATGTTTAAGAACCTCATTGGGAAGAACGTCTACCCTTTCGACTGGGTGATAATGAACATGATGCAGAACAAGTAAGTCCGGGGACAGCTGTCCCCTCTCAAGAGGCGCCTAATTCGTGTCTGGGGGGAACGGCGGTGTTGCCTGGATACCAAGGTGGCTTTCCTACAAAATACCATGCCTCCTTTTGTGATTTAAATAGTTATTTTGGGAAATGGACCCCAAGTTTGCGGTGATATCTTTATGCCAACGTGGGGCTCTGGCACTGAGAACTTGGGCTCTGTTCCCTGCAGAAAAGCAGCCTGAGCCTGCATCTCTGGCCAGCGTCATGGGCAGAGAAGTGCCATGTGCCGTCAGTTTGCCATCTCACCTTAACCGCACGTTTTTATGGGGCAGAGCCATTCTCGGCTCTATGCTAGGTTTGGATAGGTGTTTGCATTTCACATGTTTCAGATTTTTTTAAAAAATAATGAGCATTTCTTCCTACTTGATTAATACTAAGCTTGTACCTTGCTTATCGTCTCCCCGTGAAAGCTGTTGGTTCATTTTCTAGCACACTGGTTTCATCATTTCTGTAAGCACCAGCAATGACTGTGGAGTTCTCAATCATGTGGGATTTTTTTTTAAGAGAACTTTCTGTTAATTTCTTTTTTTTTTCTTACTGCAATTTTATGGAGATAATTATAGATTCATATGCAGTTATAAGAAGTAATACAGAGAGATCTTGTATACAGTTTATCCAGTTCCTCTCGATGATAATGTTTTGTAAAACTGTAGCACCATATCACAACCAGGGAGTTGAGGAGGGGACAGTTCACTGATCTTATCCAGACTGTCCCAATTTTGCTTGTGCCCATTAGTGGTGTGCAGGTTCGTCACATGCCTAAGTTCTGGACTCTACCACCAGTCAATCTACTGACTGTTCCTATTGCCACTGATGTTCCTCTTGTTCCCCATTTATAACCCTGTTTATCTCTCCCCTTCCTCCACCCCTAATTACTTGAAAATGCTCATTTGTCTTTCATTCCTAAAAGTTTTTAATTTCAAAAGTGTTAAATGGATGCAATCACCTAGTACATAACCTTTTGGGATTGGTTTTTTCACTCTGCTTAATCCCCTGGGGGTCCATGGAGGTTGCTGGCATATGGATGGTTAGTTCCTTTCTATTGCTGGCGAGTGTCCCATGGTGGGGATGTTCCACGGTGTGATTAGCCATTTTCCTGTTGAAAGATGTCTGGGCTAGTCCCAGTTTGGGGCTATTATGAGTAAAGCTGCCACAAACATTTATGTATCCATTTTTTGGTGAACATAAGTCATCATTTCTGTGGCATAAATGCCTTCCTGGACAAGTGCTGGGTCGTGTGGTCATTGCACATTTAATTTTATAAGCAACTGTCAAACTATGGCTGTACCATTTTACCTTCTCATCAGCAGTGTGAGAGCGATTCAGTTTGTCCACATCTAGCCTTTGGTGGTGTCACTGTTTTTTGTTTTCACCATTATGGTAAGTACTCAGTGTAGCTCCTTGTGGTGTTAATTTGAATTTTCCATCATGGCTTTGCTTCTTTTTAATGCCTGCCTCCTGCCACCAACCCTGAACTATATGAGGGCTTCCCTAGAGCTGTATGTGATGCAAAGCCATGCGATCATTCAGTGTGTGGTCTGTGGCTCAAGCCCTGGAGCTCTGTGGTCCAGGAGCTCCGTGGAGCTCTAGAGCTCTGTGGTTTTCTTCTCTGGAGACCCTCTCCAGCTTCTCCAGGGACATTGTGTTGTTTCTGTGCTGAGGAGGTGGCTTGCCCATGTTCCCTGGAGGGTGCAGACCAGAGGCAACCTTATCCCACCGCACCCCTGCGTCCCTACCCATGAGAGCACCTCCGCAGGACACAGACACCTGACAGAGACACAGGCATTGCAGAGCACGTTGGTGCAGTGGCATCTTGGACCAAAGACTTTGCATCTTAGGGACAGGGAGAAGAGTCTTTTGTTTGGAGGGAAAGGAAACTCTATGGGGGGAAGCCACAGTGTGCTCAGTGTGCTCTAAGCAGTTGAAACAATGAGATTTCTGAAGATAAAGTCTGGCGTAGGTGATAAAGGTACAGAGTGATGAAATCCATCCCGTTCTCTCATTCATTGTGCACACAGACTGCAGCCCTAAAAGACATCTTGATAAGGGAAGCAGTCTGAGTGTGAAATCCCTGCAGTTTATTTATGTTTTACATAAGGTATTATACAGAACTGTCTGATCAAGAATTTTAGTACTCTGAGGCCAAGTCATTCAGCAGACAGTGCTTTCTCCATTGGAGCTTCCTACGGATAAGTGATGTGTGCATGTGATACATGCATGTGTTACATGTGTGCATGCCTGCATGTGTGTGCCTGTGTGTGGGTGTGTTGGTTCCAATTGAAGGCACTTTTATTTGCAGGGATTCTGACTCTTGGAAGCTCAAACAAATGCACATTCCTATCACAGTTGACACATTCCTTATGAGCAAGTTCCCAAGCCAACGTGAATAGCAGAGGAGTAAGCCCTGGAGGAGGCATTTTAGATGCTGATCGAAGTATGGGCACTGATGATTATAATTTTTAGTTCCACGTCCTACTGCCCCCAAGTACTGCCCCTTCTGTTCAATAAACAGCACTGATTTTTCGAAGCTGAATCAGGCAGGTGTTTGAAGAAGGTTATTGCCTCCATGTGGCCAAATACTTAAAAGGATCCGGACACAGCTGGTTGGGTGACTCTTCAGTATTCTCTGACACCTTTGCTTAAATGCCAGCTTCAAAATGAAGAGTTTATTTCATGTTTCATTTAATGCACCCATTCTTTGTGACGTGTTGCATGCTTGCACTCTGGAGCTAAGGGTGAGCTGGCATTGGATGTGCTTTCCACGTGCCAGGCACTGCTCTGCGGATATCACATGCAGTTAGGTCCTAACACCCTCAGCAACTCCTGGGCACAGCTGCTGTTTTTGTGCCCACTTTACACATGGGGAAATAGAGGCATAGGGGTATGGTAACTTGCCAAAAGACACACTGCCACGCAGTGGCAGGTGGGGCCAGAATTTAAATCTAAACTGTCCACCCCAGAACCCACCCCTAAACCACGTTGCTACACAGTCTCTTCGTCTTAAGTATGCCTCCTCTTTCCTGAAGACAGTGTTGGTGTTTTTTGTTTTTTTTTTAATTCTAGTATCCTTAAAGCATAACTTTTCCGTAAGATTTACCACTTATGTGAGTGAATTTTGAGCATGGAAGTCAAGACATTACTACTTATCTTTCTTCCCGGTTACAAGTGTATGTGCTATTAAAGAGGAGACTGTTGGTTAACATGCTTTGTACGAGTCCTGCTGAGCCCTTACGGAAGAACATCTCACTGATATTGTAATAAAATACTTTCCCTATGGAGATTGCATACATACCATACAACATTGTTCCTATGTCATTATCTATCTGCCTCGTTCTTAGTAGGTTAGTATTTCATATGTGGCTGAACTTCCCTGCTTCCCCACCTGCTGCCATGCCTCAGAGACTTCCTCGCCTCGACAGGATAAGCAGTGTTTCCCAGAAGCTTTTGTATTTAAGTTTTAATGTCACAGCTGGACATGCAGTTTTACCACCCATGGCTTAGAAATTGACAAAATCAGCCTCTGTGGTCTCTTAAATATTTGTGTGCTTGTGCATCTTTGTCTCTGTGAACATACTGCTCCTCCATACATGGGGCTTGTAAAATGTAATTAAAGACAGCATCCATTAGTTTTGCTGCAACAACTTATAAATCAAGAATCAAAGTTATCGGATTTCATGAATATCCCAAAGGACAGCAGTTGCTCAGTTGTTATGTTCAAGATACAAACCGACTGGAGATGGCCTGACATTATAGCTCTGCTCTGAGATGTGATCGTGCCAGATGGCAAGATGACATTTAAGATAAGCACGGCTCAGAAATAGTAGAAGTGTGCTTGTGTTGGCATCCAGAAGTGCTTTATAATCTTCCCGGAGGGGAGCAACTGCTAAGTTTCCATCGAAGCTCTCAGGTTGTGTTGGAAGCACAGACCTTTCCCTGTCAACACCTGCGTGTTGTTGCCCGTCCTGGGTCGCGCATTAGCTAACTTCTTCAGATTAATTCTTCGTATGTGTGCAGCATAGTCTAACGGCAACGTTATGCTGTGGCTACCGTAGAGTTCTTTTTAGTTGTTAGTAGGAATGTGACCACTTGGTTGAATTTCTATGTCTCTTCTTAGGCTTTGAATCAATCCCAGTAGGGTGCTCGTGTTTGTACACTAATAATTCCCTACTAGAATTATAAGTAATAGAAGTGACCAGGTGGGAAATGGGTCTGTCAGGTTGACTGAATCCCTTTTTCACCATGAAGAAAGCACGTGTTATTAACTGCTTTAATTTCGCTTGAGAAAGGCATTTCTACAATGTGTAGTGGGTGAGAACAAGGGCAGTCCTGAGTCTAATTTTTCAGACTTTTAGGATTAGACTTTCTTTTTCATATTGACGGCATGCAACAAAACCTTATCCACATTTGTCAATTGTTCAGACTTGCAACAGAATTTTTAACAATTCAACCACCCCAATTCAAATTCTCCCTAAGCCTTCCCGCATGCTGTGCCCTCCTCTCTCGGGATAAAAAATAAATGAAACCAGCATTTTCACTTCCTCGGAGGTAGCATGGTTTACAACTGTGATGATCAATTGTTTTCCAGTGTTTCTCTCTGTTGGTGCAGATTTTGTGTCTTAGATCTCCTGTCCTCTCCCAGTGTGGATGGGGGGCCTACAGGTGATTATATCGTATGATCTGTGGTTTATATCCTACGCACTTTCATGGAGGACTTGGTGGTATGTTTTGCAAGTAAGGATTCACAGACCATGAATATAAAATAAAATATGTACAATCGTAGAAAAAATGTGAAGCTTTCTGGAAACCAAAATATGGAAGCCAAAAGACTCAAAGCTGACTAGAAGATAAGATGTAAAGGAAAATAAGACAGAGTGCCAGATTCTCACCGGATGGGGAAAAGGATTTGCCATTTATCAGGAGAGACCGGCAGTCTATGGTGTCGCTCTTTAT